TACATTGGTGACCCCCTCAGCATACCCTTGGGCATCCTCCATGGGGGTCATATGGATCACCCCGCCACTATATCATCCTAATGGGAGTCGGCGTTAGTGACCCCCAACCCCCTGATCATACCATGGGGGTGGTACGTTGGTGGTCCCTAGACCACCTCATGGGGGTGCTCCTTCCACCCTCATCATCTTCCATGTCATGGGGGTGGCGGTATGATGGTGGCCACCCCCCTTGGTACCTCCTGGGGGTGGTGGTATGATTCCCACCCCCCTCACCACGTCCTACCCACCCCCCTCACCACGTCCTGGGGGTGGTATGATGGTGGCCACCCCCCTTTGTACCTCCTGGGGGTGGCTACCATACTCCTTGCCTTAGCCAAATTCGGCCATCACCCCCCTCACCACGTCCTGGGGGTGGTACTATGGTGGCCACCCCCTTTGGTACCTCCTGAGGGTGGTATGATGTCCACCCCCCTCACCACGTCCTGGAGGTTGTATGATGGTGCCCACCCCCCTTGGTACCTCCGGGGGGTGGCTACCATACTCCTTGCCTTAGCCAAATTCGGCAATCACCCCCATCACCATGGCATGGGGTGGCGGTATGATGTCCACCCCCTTGCCACGTCCTGGGGGTGGTGGTATGATGCCCACCCCCTTCTGCGTGTCATGGGGGTGGCTCCCATACTTAGTCAAATTTGGATATGCATGGCGCGCGTGGTGGCACGGAGTAATGGGCCCAAAAACCCAATCCTCATGGCCCACTCAACTGATTTAAACTGATATGATTAAGTTGGTCTTATAAAGCCATTTAATTCCTTGTTTTTAACCGATGTTGTACAAGGTTAATTTTTATGGGTAAACAGTTGGTTATGGTGGAGATTGGAAAAGATTTCAGCTGGAACGTTCAAGTTCGTCTCGGTTTGGTTTGGTACAACCATAGGTTTCGTCCCTGTGATTGCTTTGTTTCGGTCACGGAGGTGTTGTTCGGAACACCTTAGTTTGAGATATTGTTCGGAATATCTCAATTTGATAAATGCTGTTCGGAGCATTTTTTGTTTTGTTTCTGTTTCGATGATGCTATTCAGAGCATCCTGATCGCCATGTTGCTGTACGGAGCACGTGGCTTTGTTTCTGTTTCGACGATGCTATTCGGAGCATCCTGATCGCCATGATGCTGTTCGGAGCACGTGGTTTTGTTAGTTCGACGAACTAGACGACTTTGGCAAGACCTTTTGTTATCTCCAGCTTATCACCATCGACGTTTCACGAGGCATTGGACATGGTCTTCATCGACATCGGCATATTTGGCGGAGCAGTTATGTTTTTCATTGTTTTTTTTTTCAGTCACATTGTTCATAGTAATTTGTGTCGGTTTTGTTTCGGTTTTCAAATTGTTGGTAAGTAATTACCATCAATTTGGGGGAGGGTGTTAGAGTATGTGTAGTACGAGTAGTATTATGTTATACTACGAGTACTGTTATGTAATTGGTCAAGGTTATATTCCTTATCAGAGTCATATTAGTATTAGGGTTATTATAGAAGTCAATCTCTGTACTTTATATAAACTCTATGCGGTTTCAGAAATAATATACAACCGTTTCCACCGTATTCTGATTTCCCAACAAGTAAATCGTGGTTTTGATTCAAATTTGAGGAAAATGTATCAAAGTGTATTGCTTTGATTAAACCAAAGTACATTTCTGTTTAGGATAAAAATTAAGTGGCTAATTACAAACAAGTACTCAAAATAAACAAGAATGACAAAAGAAGCCCAAGAGAATCCATTTTCCTTTCGAGTTGAAATAGACAGTCATCACCATATCCAACTTCCACTCTCATAGTTTGCTCTTTTGCGCTGCCGTACATGGTTATCGCTCGTCAAATATCATGAACTAGTCATTTAGTTTTTTTTTTTTTTTTTTACAAACAACTAGTCATTTAGTTGCATTTAAGTACATGGCAACATAAAACATTCACAAGACTAAACTCAACAAATGGAAGATGATGATGATGTCAATTTCTTTCTCTTTGTAATGTTCTGGCTTTGCTTGTAATTGTAGAGTGTGACAGCTCACAGCTCGCCTATGGAACTGACAACTAATAATGGTCCCACGATCAGCACTACTTGCCGTTTCTCTAATCACCATATCTTTGATAGGATAAGATGTTACAGATACATTTGATGTCGGCTATAAAACAATGGCGTAGTTCAGTATTTGTAAGTTTAAGGGATGACGTGGATGTGCAATTTTTAAAATTGGGTAAATTGCAAGTTACATCAACAAAATTATTAAAAAGTTTCATGTTTGCCACTAAAATGAGTTTATTTTATTCATGGTCACTAAAATTAGTTCGACAGTTCAAGTTTGGTCACTCTTCGTTAGCCTCCGTTAACTTTTGCTGATGTGACAGTTAACTCTTATAGTTAACCGTTACATATGTGACATGGCAATTAAAAAATTATAAAAAATAAAATTTAATCTTATTATAATTTTCACCTCATTATCACAATAAATTAAAAAAAAACATAAATATTATAATTATACTCAACTTCCCTCTGCAGCTCGGTGTCACGGAGCGCCATTGCCTTCTCCGATGCTGTCGCTTCATCTTCCACGCACCGGATGGTGCCGCCACCACCATTGCTCCATGCTCCCTTCCGCCTTCACATTCGGTGAAACCCTAAAAGATTTATCCCCAATCTGAGCATTTCCGGTCTCCAATTCCTCTCACGATCCATTGAATTTATCTGTCACGAAACAGGTCTACAGTAAGTGGCGAAGGAAGTCGCTCTTTTTGTCGTCAACGGTGTCAATGGTAAGAGTTCTAAGTTACAGGCGGCCGTCTTCTCTTTCATCGGGTGCGTGGAAGATGAAGCAGTTGAATATGAGATTGCGGTGGCGCTCCGTGATGCCGATCTGCAGAGGGAAGTCGAGTATTTATTTTTGGTAAGAGGGAAGTCAAGTATAATTATAATATTTATGTTTTATTTATTCTTTAATTTATTGTGATAATGAGGTGGAAATTATAAAAAGATTAAATTTTATTGTTTTATAATTTTTTAATTGCCACGTCACACATTTAACGGTCAACTATAAAAGTTGACTGCCAAATCAACGAAAGTTAACGGAGAATGACCAAACTTGAACCGTTGAACAAATTTTATTGACCATGAATGAAATAAACTAATTTTAATGACAAACGTGAAACTTCTTAGTAATTTCACTGACCAAACTTGCAATTTACCCTTTTAAAATTATAGGTTGCAGTATGAGAGACATCTAGGGGTCGTTGGTTGTTGGATTTGGAAATGAGTAACTTTTTTTAATTTCGAAATCTTTAGATTTGTAATGAATTTATTGTATTATGAATTTGAAAGAGTTCATTGTTTTTTTAGTTCAATTTTTTTATCATAGATTTATAGCTTTATTAACTATAGATCCCACAATTTTGGAATCCATCAACGAAATTCTAAATGAAATGGGGGATTTGAAATTCATGAATCTCACGAATCTGTATTCCAATTTTTTATCCCAACATACATTGGAATTATTAAATCCATGATACTAGAGATTTGAGCGCCAAATCTGTCACCCAATTCCAATAAGCAAACCACCTCTCAAAATTACAAGGAACTAGAGTGTATTTTGTTTGCATGAGTAATTTTCATGTGTTAAATTGAGGAATGTACAAAGTTACTCTTATTGTGTTGATTTTTTTTTGGAGTTGTGTTGATTTTTGTTGCCTTGTGTATCCACAAAATAATGAGGAATGTAGAAGACCATTCTTCTTATCACTTTAAATTTAAGCAACGACCCAATTGCAAGAGCAGAGCTCTACCAACTGAGCTATATCCCCCGAGCCATATTTATTTATTAAAAAAAATTAGAATGCTAAAAACTATTCAAGTTTTTGGTAGTGTGAATAGAAATAAAAGGTAGGGGTTAAAACTTAAAAGCTCACTTGTACAACATTGGTCAAATGGATGTGGATATTTAAGATAGAAGCCCAATAAGGCTGCTAAAATGTTGAGAAGAAGATGGGTCGTGGCATCATCGTCGTTATTAATTCGTTAATAGCTTCAATTTTTGTTCAAGTCAAATAGATTTTATTTAGAAAAATTGACCCGCCTGATTGATCTTACTAACCAATCAAAACCGACTGATTAGAGCCGAACAAATGTGTTGCTCGACTTGGTTTGGTCCAATTCCCAACTAACCAAACCAATGCATAGCTTGAGTGGTAACTAATGCAGTCAAAAGCGCGATTTTAATTAGAAGCAGAAAATAAGTAAAATCATAAAGCATAGAATCAAAGCGTTAAAGTGTAAGTTTTTAATGCATACTATAAAATAGCTAAAAATCTATTAAGTACGACATATACTATGTAAAATATGAGTGCACGGAACATAGTTAAGTTAATAAATACATCCAATTCATGTCTATAGTAGAGCAACACATATATAGCATCTTATTAATAACTTCATAAACATAGATCTTAACAATAAGCCGCATTTCCCTCTATGCTAATGAATTTGGGAAAGGCCAAGTTGGTGAATTAGATTACTCTATTTAAAGTTGAGAATTCATCCAAGTACCTGGTATGTATCTTTTAATCTAAAATGTATCATATTGTTGGTGATTTATCTTTAAAATCTACTTTTTATAATTAATTTCATGAAAAGAATACCCATTTAGTGAACTGGAAGCATAAAAGCGTAAAGCGTTTTGGTGAACTAAAAGCGTAAAAGCGTTAGTTTTTAACCTTTAAAGCGCAATTTAGTTCAATTTTCTACACTAAAAATTTTATATGAAAACGAAAACGTTATGATGACCTATAAATGTAAAACCAAAATCTTTTTAAGTTTGAAAACACTATTTTACCTACATTACTTATATCTACTCGATCTAATTGTCAATTATCTACCCAAACTAGTTACGTCTTTTCATATGCATCCTCCTTCACATTCTATAAATAGCATCATCATCATATGTTTTCTATACCTGTTTTTTCTTTTTTTTTTTTTTTGGCACCAAAACTCTATGAACTTTCTTCTGCATTCTCCTCTTTCAAAAGAATAGAAAATATAGTTGTGCAATTCTCTCTGTCAGTTTAGTTCTTCGACATTTTGAGGTTTGCAATGCTGCTACACCAAAATTGTACATCCTTTATATCCTAACATATTTATTTAATAGACTACTTTAGAAGTTACTTTGTGCCGATTACATTATGTTTTTCCTGCCTTCAAAAACGTTGTGGGAGAATATTTGCAGGTTTACATTCTGTAAAACTTCAGCTTTAGCCACCTCGCCACCTTAAGGTCAGGGTAGGCTATAGTTAATTATATATAATTTTATAAAAAATTTTAGAAATATAGTAGTTGGTAAGGCTTTAGCTCCCCTCATCAGTTCAAATTCTCTGAGCGTAGATTTTTAGTCCCCCTGTTTAGATTCCTGGCTCCGCCACTGGCTTTAATTATATTAACTAGGTGACGATGTCGCGCCTTGTTGCGCGGCTAAGATGGCTTATGGGCATGTATTATTTGGTCCGTTATGGTGTTTTGTTCAGTGTTGTTAAAGCCAACCCGAGCCGGTCGATCGGACCGGTAAAATCGGGACCCAGACGTCATTCCGGTTTGGATCACCTCCAAAACCGCAAAGGTTAGAAAGGTCGGCTGGTGAGCGGCAGAAACGGCTAACCGTTCGAGCCGCTCGAACCGCCTGATCGGTTTTTGGTTTTAGCCTAAAATAAATAAAAAAAGGAAACTTGATGGATCTCGAGTTGTTGTCTCCGCCGCTGTTGTCATCAGGATTATTCCTCGCCTACCTCGCATCGCCTTTTCCAGAAAGAAAGAGAGGAGAGGTCAGGGAGCGGGGTTTGGGGAGACATCGTGACCTCGTGGGGGTTGATTCGGCAGCAGGGTTTTGGGAGGAGCTTGAAGGAAGGGTAGATGTTGGTGCGGCGAGGAGGACGACGGCGGTGTGGGGAGGTAGAGATGTGAAAGATGGGTATGAGCGGAGAGCATGAGCTGTGAAAGGTAGGGAATGGGAAGGAAATCAGAGGGAGAGAGGGATGAGTGGCGGGTGGGGTGGGGATTAGAATTTTTATATTGTTTATACTTATATATATTGTGAAATTACTAAGTGGTACCTGCAAAGTAAATTTTACTTTAGCCATTAAATTGTTAAGTTATTGCTTTATGTGTCTTGTATTTATTATATTATATCATTGTTTATAACCTATTAGTCGACGGTGTGAGGAGATATAGATGTGAAAGGCGGGGATGAGCAGAGGGGATGAGCTATGAAAGAGATGTGAAAGGTGGAGAACGGGAAGGAAATCAGAGGGAGAGAGGGGATGAGCGGCGGGTGGGGTGGGAATTAGAGTTTTTTTAGTGTTTATACTTTATATATATATTGTAAAATTATTCGGTGGTTCCTGCAAAGTAAATTTTACTTTAGCCATTAGATTGTTAAGTTATTGCCTTATGTGTCTTGTACTTATTATATTATATCATTGTTTATAACTTATCAGTTCTCTAAAGATTTTTAATGGCTCAATACCGGTTGGACCACTAAAGTGCGAGCCGTTCACATTATTGGGTCATGCTCCAGTTCGGTTTTGACACCATTGGTTTTGTTAGTATTATTAGGCTAAAAGTATTTTTGTTAGTAATATTGTTAGGAATATTGACTTGAAAATATGATATTGACTGAGAAGAGATATATGGTGGTCAACTAACAATTTAAATTTTTTTGAAAATTTTGGCTAATAAATTATATTTACTAAACCCAAATAGACTCATTGATTATGCGTAGGGTATGAGTGACGTATATATGGGTTTGGAAGAAGTTTGTATATGGGTTTGAGTAGGGTATGGATATTTAATTTTATAATCTAAATATGTATGAGTTGGGTATGGATACCCATTTATTCGAGGGTGTTTCAATTACGCATACAAAAATTAAACCTATTTGTAGAATTTCAAAAGTTTAGGTACCAAAATGCAATAAATAAAAAATTCAGGTACTAAAATGTAATGTTCCATCAATATTTTGAGGATTTATATGCCAAAAAAATATATTTAGGTTATAAATGTAATTATCTATTAAGTTTAGGTACCGAACTGTAATTTGCATAGTTGAGGCTTATCTATCTATCTATCTATCTATATCTATCTATCTATACTATATATTATGGCAATTCAAAAGTAACTTCTTGCCACATAAGCACTTGGAGAATTCACAAGTTGCCAAGGTGGACAACTTTTTTTGCAAACAAAAAATTCATTATTGATCTATTTATGGAGCTATCTCTCTCTTCTTTTAATATTTCTACTCATTTTTACTAAAAATTAATAATAAATGAACTTTTTATGAGAATGTAAACAAACACACAAAATTATAATATTTTTGTCAATTAAAAAAATATAAAGATGGAAATAGAGAGTGACTATATCGAATTTGTTTAAATAAAAAGTATATGATTAAATCTTATCAAGTAAATTTTCTTACTCATTTTCACCAAAACTTAATAATAACTTACATTTTGACAAAAACTTAAAAAAGTACACATATATAATAATATCTGTATCAATTAAACAAAATATTAAATAAAAATATTGAAAACAAATGATTAAAAAAGTACACATATTTAATAATATTTGTATCAATTAAACAAAATATTACAATAGAAAAATTGAAAACAAATGATTAAAAAAGTACACACATATATAATAATATTTTTATTAATCGACTTTGAAAATGATATATATGAATTTATATTTTTTTGTAATAACAAGTCTCTTATTTCTAATGTATTTTTTCGTCGAATTATTTCTAATATATATTTCTAACAAATAAAAATTGTCTTATATAGCAAAAGGTTTGAATATAAACTTGACTAAGCAATAATAGTTCTTTCTTTAAAAAACTTCTTATTCATCATGATTAAGTGAAAACATATATTCATGTTCTACCTTCAGTTTCTCAAATTAAGAGTAATCAGGTGTGCAATAATTTATAATTTTTCCTAGGGTTTATATTAAAATATTCACTCTAGATCATATTAATTGAACGATCTCTATTGAGGTCATAAGTCGAATGCTAAGTAATTTCTTTTCAGATTTGGAGTTATTGTCGAATATTATTACATCAAAGTTTTCAAAATGACTTAAGTACGATTTTTGACGAGTTTTGACTTCATACCTAGGATGAGACACAACATCACTTAAAAAACAACAGGTGTGAAGGTTAACAAAATCTTCGTTGAGGATATACGATAAATATCACGTTTCATCAACCACTAACCTTAGCATTGATCAAATAAGGGTTGAAAAAATTTATTTAATAGTTGATGTCTTGGTAGACAAATCTAAATTCGAGGATTGAGACAATAAATAAACATAAGTGTGTTAGTTGAGATATCTAAACAAAAAAATTTTGTAGCTACAAGAATCTAAATTGAGGTATTGTGTTAAAATAAAGAATCTTTAATAAGGATGAGTTTAGTAAGGCAATTGTAATAAAACATTGGGGTCGTTTGCTTCGTGGATTGAAAACTGAAAGTTTTAATAAAACTTGGATTTTGTAAAAGCATGGATATATGAGGGTTTTTGGTTCATTATGGATTTGAAAATACCATACTTCGTTTCATAGATTTCACGATGCATTTGGTTAATTGAATTTGTATGTTGGAAGCGAAAATGACATATATTACCCTCATTGGTATGAGAAAGGAAATGAATTATGAGGGGTAGGTTGGTCATAAATAATAGACTTCAAAGTCCATGATCAATTTTCATCTAAAGAGGTGAAATTTTCAAGTCCTTGGGGCCCACGAATTTGGAAGCTTAAAATACATGAGACCCACATATTTGTTGCCTCTAAATACATGACGCAAGCAATGGTTGGACAAAGTTCACGATAGCTCCAAATTCATCAAGCAAACAACCCCAGCTATATGTTTGTGAGTATGTGACTCCATACCAAATTTTGGCAATAACAAAAACTTTTTCAATATCGAAGTCTCAAAATGGAAATCTTTTGGTTTGTAACAGTAAGCAATTTGTATTTAGATCGAGTTATCCTAACCACAAAATTTTGTTTTCATATTTCAGTCGATGAGCCGAGTTCAAAGGTATTAATCAGGGTTAAAAATTAAAATAAAATTGTTATACATATTCTTAGATATTAATAGATATGTCTACAATACATTCAAGAATTCAAATGTATGTAAAATGTCACCGTGTTTCTACGAGTTATTACATTTTATATAAAAAAATCTAAGAAATCATAAATAATCATTACTTAATATTATAGGAATCTAAAACTAATTTAGTGCCACATCGGTACATGGCTAGCTCTCACCCTTCGACGCTGGACAAGGTCTAATTGGTGTGCTTTTTTGCTTACTCTTTAAATTGTCATCATTATCAATAAAAAGTAAATTAAGTTAATAAAAATGAATGCAACATTCTGGTTTGTTCCTATTCATTCTCCCATACAACATTGAAAATAAAACACAACATTGATAATAAAGAAACTAGATCAAGCCCCACAAAAAAATAATAAAGCTCTCTTCTTATTTGCTTAAATTTTGAGTTTCTAGAATTTGTCTTCTCTACTTTTTTGTATATAGATATAGGAAAAGAAATGGTAAGCCATATTAAGTTTTTTTTTCTCTTTGTAGGAGAATAGGATGCGGGAGTTACATGATGCAATGATTTGTGGGAAAGAATTGAACAACTCTAACATATTTTTGCCTATTGACGAAGAAAAGTCCAACCTATCATTTCTCCCTCTTCCCTTTTGATCCGCAGCAAGCAATTGATCTTTCTTCCTCGGAGATATTTGACTGCTAGCGGTTGACTGGCCGAGTTATAGTCTTCTTCCCATTATTTTCTTAATTTCTTCCAGATTACGGCGGCTCGATAGTAAATTTCCCTTTTCGATTCAATGGTTGTATTTCTTCTTCGTTATTTTGGTAGTTGTTTTATGGTTCTCTGTTATCCTGTATACTTTGATGTAAACATGTAACATATAATTCAAAAGGTTTGTTGCTTGGACTTGGAGCATCTCTCCTTTGGTTGAATAATTGATCATTTCCCTTTGAGGCCTATTGCAACTCGATTCCTAGGATGTTAAAATGGAAAGTAGAGTTGTGAGAGTTGTTCATTATGTTTATTATGTTCATGAGTGACATGTTACTAGCTAGCTATATGACGATGATCTGATTAAGTAAATAGTATGTAGCAGGGGGTTAAACGAAGAAGCGGAAGATTGATGATGTGGATGCCAATGTGGTTTCTCATTCTTCCAAAATTACACGAATAACTGATATTGCACGATATTTGTGTGATCTAGATCGCGATATTCTCTATTATCATATACCAACGTACGAGAAGGGTGAGATAAAGAAAGCTCTTCACTTTTTTTTATTAATTGAAATATTTTTGTAAATTTTAACTTCTTCTTTTGTGTCCTTCAAAATTTTAACTTCTTTGTCACTTTGTGTGCTAAAAAATTAATGATCTCTTAGTTTATATCTTAAATGGTGGATTCGATACATAATTATAAATCAATAAAGAAAGTACTAGAGAGAGCTCATGTAATAAAATTAAATTTTCATAAATAAATGAAATATATAAAAATGTGAAACAATATATGAAATTTGGTAAGTGAGATTAACAATTTAATGTATAATAGTTTAACATAATGAATCATAAATAAAATTATAATGCTAGGACGAAAAATATAATAACCAATCAAAATTTGCCGCCCAACGGGCGGGTATAAAGCTAGTTTCCTTTATGGTGATGTATTAAAGATGATAATTATTTACTTTTTTTATAGATACCTAACCAAACATTCTATGTATAATTGTTGAAAATTCTAGCTCGAGTGAAAAAGAAAAACTCTAGAGAGAAGTAAAAGGAATACAAACTGGAACTCACTTAAAATTTCACGCCTTCAAATCCCATAGTGGAAAATAACGAATTTCTAATAAGTAATAATCTTATATATTTATTTTTAATTGGATTCAACATTGAGCTGAAAAAGTTGGTGGTTCATGGTTCAATTATTAATTATCTAGACTGTTGGTCAGTCGTGTATGGACCCGTTTATACTTGTGATTGGAATATATAAAAATAGTATACTAATTAGGGTTAGACGAAGAAGGCAAAGAAATAAATAAAGAGAGGGTTATGGAAGGATAGTGAAAAATGAAATGAAGAGGAAGTAGATTATGGAAATGTTTTGACCAATTCTTTTAGTTGGCAGTCAATACAACAGTCAACCCTTTTCACCGTAGCAATTTATTGACACTTATGTAGATGTCGCATAATTTGTTACATGTTGTTAGTAGAAATTTGTTTAGTACCACGTAAATGTATTAAATGAGTTTATAAATTCGCTCTTGCAATATTTTAGAGTCGTCTCTCTTTTATCATTTATTTAATGTATCACGTAATAAGCAAATATAAAATGGTCGAATCTTCTCCTACAGTTGAATGATACAACATCTTGTATGCATGGACCAGGAAACCGGATCGTACCAGCTGGTTCAACCAGAAAACGCGGAAACCAGAACAAGAACGATACGGTATGCTGGTAGGCTTCAAAATATCTTGCCGGACGGTTTTTCTGGCTTAACCGGTACAAAAGAAAAAACCTCCTGGATTTGATCTAACCGGCGGTAGGCTCATTGGGAGGAAAATGTCACCGTTCTGACACTGAAAATTGCCAAAGGCCAAAAAATAAAAAACTAAAAAACCCTAATCTAGCCATTTGGAAGTGCTTTCCTTTCCTCGTTTCCTTTTCCTAGCCCCGCCCGCCGCGCCTCCTCTTCTCCTCTGGCGACTGCGAATGATGAACCACGATCGCCTACCCGCGACGAGCGATCGGAGAAAGCAAAGAGGAAACCGTGATCGCCACTCTCTGCGATTGGCGACTGGCTGTAACAACCCGGGCCAGCTGTCATCTGTATAAAAAGGGGAGAGCTTACCTGTCATTGGCATTCTATTGACCAATCTGTTATCAGCTAGTTACTTTACCAATTTAGATAGCTTCCAATAAAAGAGACTTCTACCTTCTTCTCCATTTTTCTCTGTTCTTCCCGTTTCTAGCTCCAAATCGCCAGAATCCATTAGTCCGATCCTTACAAAGTGGTATCAGAGCCCTCCTTCTGGCAATGGCGACGAACACTTCCCGTATCGTCGACTTGGAGACTCAGATGACGGCAGTACAGCAGAAGATGGATTTGCAACATCAAGATCTGAAATCCGCCATTGCTGAGCTTGCTGCGTCCACGAAGGACAACATCGACGCGCTCTCGGCCTCCTTGGCGCGGTTGCGCGACAAGTCGCCGTCGCGTTCCTCTCCGTCCGGCTCTCAGGCGCCCTTCACCGAAGCTCCGCCTTTTTCGTTCTCACCATCGCCGTCCGTCATTATTGGACCATTATCCCCGCTTAGAGTTCTCTTATTTCTCTGGTACTGATCCACACGTCTGGGTGAGCAAGTGTGCTAAGCTGTTCAACCTCTATTCGATCCCCGAGGATCAGAAAGTGGAGTTGGTGTCGTATTACTTGGAAGGCCGCGCTCATACTTGGTTTGACGGTTGGTCTTTCCGTCGTTTTCCTCTGATTTGGGGGCAATTCGTCGACGAATTGCTTCACCGGTTTGGGAGTCAAGATCAACTCAACATCTTCGCCGCGTTCAATCAGCTGCGGTAGACGTCGACGGTTGCTCACTACCAGGAGGAGTTTGAAGACCTCCGTTCCAGGATGCTGCGCTTGAATCCAGATCTCAACGAATATTACTTCATCATGAGTTTTCTGGGAGGTTTCGATGATGAAATCCAGCCGCGAGTCCAGGTTCTTAATCCCCCTGCCTTGGCGTGTGCATTCTATCAAGCTCGCCTCGAAGAATCAGCGATTGAAGCTCGTAAGAAGAAGGTCCGTGCTGTTCCTTCCAATCGTTGGACTGCATCGACGTCCGCTTCTCCTTCCGTCGAGGCTAATCGCTCTTTCCCACGGGATTCTCCTTCTTCGTCGTCTTTCTCACATGAGCGAAGTTCTATTCCGCGTGGCCAGGGTCTCTGTTACAAGTGTGGAGACAAGTACTTCCATGGCCATATTTGCTCGAAGAAGAAGCAGCTTCATTCTCTCCAGGCTGAGTCTTCCTTCCCTCCTGCTGCGGATGATGAGTTCGCCGAAGAATTTCAGGATGCTGAGCTGGAAGTTTCTCTGCAGGCCATGGGTACTGGGTTTTCAGGTAACTCGTTGCTTATTCCAGCCACAGCGGGATGTCGTGAAGTCATAGTTTTGATTGACACGGGCAGTTCCCATACTTTCCTGAACTCATTGAAGGCTGAGGAATTAAACTGTCATACAGAGGATATTGCCCCTATGCGAGTGAAAGTTGCTAGCGGACATACTTTGATGAGTAATGCAGTATGTCGAGGATTCAATTGGAAGATGCAAGGGGAGGAATTCGATTTTGATGTTCGTACTTTGGAGCTTCCAGCTCATGATTTGGTGTTAGGTTGGGATTGGCTGGAAACAATTAGCCCATTTCAGGTGGACTTGAAGAAACGGCAGTTGTCATTCGATTGGAAGGGAAAAGTTTTGACATTACAAGGGCTTACCAGAGATGGCCAGTGCAAGGCGATGACTGGGAGGTCTTTCCAGCAGCTTCTTCGGAAGCAGCATTCTCACCTTACTGGGGCTGTGTTTGCTATTGAAGGACAGTCTGTGCCACCATCACCTACCCCTGACTTCCTCAAACCTCTGCTGACTACATATGCTGATGTTTTCGCAACACCCTCATCCCTACCCCCCAGTAGACCCTTTGATCATGCTATTCCATTGCTGCCCAATACGAAGCCCATCAATATACGCCCTTACCGTTTCCCTCATCATCAGAAGGCTGTAGCAGAGAAGTTAGTATCTGAAATGTTGGATTCAGAGTTTATTCAAGAAAGTCGAAGTCCCTATGCCTCCCCTGTTCTGTTAATTGGGAAGAAGGATGGTACATGGCGGTTCTGCGTTGATTACAGGGAACTGAACTCGGCCACCATCAAAGACAAGTTTCCGATTCCACACATCGAAGATTTATTGGATGAATTGCACGGGGCTGTCATTTTCTCTAAGCTGGACCTCAGGGCAGGGTACCATCAGATTCGAATGAGACCTGAGGATCAGTTCAAGACCGCTTTTCGCACCCATCAGGGACACTACGAATTCCGTGTCATGCCTTTTGGATTAACGAACGCGCCTGCGACGTTCCAAGCTTTGATGAATCATGTTTTTGCCAGGTACTTGAGGAAGTTTATTTTGGTTTTCTTTGACGATATTCTCGTCTATATTAAGTCTGCTGAGGATCATTATCATCATCTTTCCACTGCTCTGAAATTGTTGTGTGAGCATAGCTTGTTCGCTAAGGAATCCAAGTGTTCCTTTGGTCAGCCCACTGTCGAATATTTGGGGCATATAATTGACAAAGATGGGGTTTCTACGGACAGGGGTAAGGTGGCAGCCATGTCTGACTGGCCACGGCCAACTTCAGTTAAAGGATTGCGTGGATTCTTAGGCCTCACGGGGTATTACAAGAAATTTATCAAGCATTATGGGATCATTAGCAGGCCACTGACTTTGTTATTAACCAAGAATGGGTTCCAGTGGACAGCAGCTGCCGAGGAAGCCTTTGTTTCCCTGAAAAAAGCGATGGTGACTGCCCCGGTTTTAGCTCTTCCAGATTTCGACTTACCCTTCACACTGGAGACTGACGCGTGTGGTACAGGTGTCGGAGCTGTTCTCTCACAGGGTGGCCGTCCTCTTGCTTATTACAGCAAGGCTTTGGGAGTTCGCAACCAAGGTTTAAGTACCTATGAGAAAGAGTATCTGGCAGTTTTGTTGGCGGTGGAGCATTGGCGACACTATCTTGAAGGGCGTCAGTTCACTATATTAACTGACCACGAAAGTTTGAAATTTTTACTTGGTCAGAAAGTGCACACTGCCATCCAAAAGAAGGGCTTAGTGAAGTTGATGGGGTTGGATTTTCAGATAAAGTACAGGCGTGGGAAGTATAATGGAGCGGCTGATGCCTTGTCACGCATTTTTGATGATGAGATGGAAACAGGGGAGTGTAGTGCGTTGCTGTCCGTGCTGCCGGAGTGGCTCGTTGAGATTGAGCACACTTATGTGAATGATAGGGAAATGGCTGATCTGATTGCAGCAGCTGCAGTTAACTCCCATGGGCCTTCATTGTGGTCTTTCTCTTCTGGGATCCTACGATATAAAGGGGCTATTGTGGTTGGTTCTACTGGATTTATGCGGGGTAAATTGTTGCATCTGTTCCATTCATCACCAGTAGGCGGACATTCAGGTACGCAAGTTACTTACCAACGCTTGAAAAGTCACTTTTATTGGCCGGGAATGAAGTCTGCAGTACATAAATGGGTGGCTGAATGTGAGGTATGTCAGCGTTGTAAGGCAGAGACGGTTGCATCTCCAGGCTTATTGCAGCCCCTTCCCATTCCTACTCAAGCTTGGAAGGATATTAGTTTGGATTTTGTTGAAGGTTTTCCCCTTTCTCATGGTAAACAGGTTTTGTTAGTGGTGGTTGATCGGTTTACCAAAATGGCGCATTTCTTTGGTGTGAAACATCCTTATACAGCAGCTGATATTGCTCAGGTTTTCTTCGATGGAGTTTTTAAGTATCATGGGATGCCATCTACAATAGTTTGTGACCGTGATGCGACTTTTACAAGCAATTTCTGGACAGAATTCTTTCGCTTACAAAGGACAGATTTACACTATTCTACTGCTTATCATCCACAAACGGATGGCCAAACAAAAAGAGTTAACAGGTGCCTTGAAGACTACTTGCGTTGCATGACGTTCCACAGGCCTGCAGATTGGTTTTCTTGGATTACTCTTGCTGAGTGGTGTTATAACACTCACTATCACATCAGCATACACATGACACCCTTTGAGGCCCTCTATGGTTTTCCTCCCACATTCTTTGGCATTACTCCTGGTTGTACTACTTCTGTGGGAGCTGTGGAAGATAGGTTGTTTCAGCAGCAACAATTGGTTCATTTTCTCACTGATAATATCACTCGAGCTCAGAACCGGCAGAAACAATATGCTGATCAGCGCCGTTCTGAACGAGTTTTCCAGCCTGCAGATTGGGTGTACCTTAAACTCCAACCTTACCGTCAAGGTTCGGTCGTGGGTAGGCACGGCAATAAGCTTGGTGCTCGCTACTTTGGTCCCTACCAGGTTCTTGAGAAGGTGGGGAACGTGGCTTACAGATTGGCTCTTCCACAAGGATCTAAGGTTCACCCCGTGTTCCATGTCTCCCAGCTGAATTTGTGTCGTTCTGTGGTGCCCCCAACTGCTTTACAACTCCCTGATACAGATGCTCACGGTACACTGAAGTTGGCTCCTTCTCATATTCTTGCTAGGCGTTTTGTGAACAAGGGCAATCGGGCTATTACTCAAGTCTTGGTGCAGTGGACTCATCAAACTCCGGACGAAGCTACCTGGGAGGATCTGGCCACATTCTCCAGGGAGTTTCCTTCTTTTCTTGCATAGCATCAACAGCTTGAGGGCAAGCTGTTTCTGATGGGGGAGGGTTTTGTAACAACCCGGGCCAGCTGTCATCTGATAAAAAGGGGAGAGCTTACCTGTCATTGGCATTCTATTGACCAATCTGTTATCAGCTAGTTACTTTACCAATTTAGATAGCTTCCAATAAAAGAGACTTCTACCTTCTTCTCCATTTTTCTCTGTTCTTCCCGTTTCTAGCTCCAAATCGCCAGAATCCATTAGTCCGATCCTTACACTGGCTTTGAGGAGATCGCGGGCTCCTTGCTCTGCTCCTAGGCGATTGGCGCTGATCCCTGATCCGCTCCGCCGCTCCGCCGCTCCTCTTCTCTCCTCCTCTGCCCCGCTGCCTGCTCGAGTCTCCCTACCCTGCTGCTCAAGAAGACAAGAACGCAGGTGAGTTTCATGACGAGGCTCTGCAGCAAAAACTAATTGCACCAGGTGAGTTTCGGCGTTCCTTCTTCTCTGTTCTTCCTCCTTTGGTTGTTTTGGTGGGTCGTCGTTTTGTCTGAGTCGGAAGCTTTGTTGGGGGTCTGTGTTTGAAGACTGAATGATACTTGCTCAAAAGATAGACGGTTTGGGATTTTTTTTATCGACTGGAATCTGCTCTTTTGTGTAATTTGCTTCATTTGTTTAATGCTTTAGTGCAATAGATGCTATTGTCTGTTTGTTTAATGTTGGATGGGTAATGAACATGTGTATGATGATCTTGTAAATGAGAGAAAAGGGTGCTATCTTTTGATGCTAGTTGGGAGAAGAGGTTGCTGTCTTTTTTGTATAATGCTCTTCTGAATGGGAGAAAAGGCATCTGTCTTTTTTAATAATGTTGTCTTTATTGTATAATGCTAGCTTAATGGGAGAAGAACTTGTTGTCTTTTTGTGTAAT